TTTGCAAGATGGCTGTTTCTCGGACTGCTCCGGCTATTTCTTAATATAATTATGATTTTCATCTGATCTTTCCTCCATGTTTGATTGCTTTTCTTTTTATATTCGTGACCTTTTTAACTTTGACAGCTCCATCTGCTGTTCTTCAATCCTCTGGCTCTATTGTCTGAGGAATTCTAAGATTTGTTGGATAGTGGTTGCCAGCTGATGGTATGATGGTGGGTTGTTTTGCTGAGGCGATGTGGGTGGAACTGATGAAGATGTTTGACATACCTAGTTAGAATTTTTGGTTTTGTTCTAGGATTTGGTCATCTTGCTCCTGGTGTCAACCATGCTTTTAATTTGTATGGATTGTTAATTGAAGTTTATGGCTCCCTACAGATGGCGCCAATGATCAATCCAATAATTATTGGGCCTGGTTAGACACAGTTGAGCATGGTGATTTTGGAGATAGGGGGTATTTATGCTAGCAATACAAGATATGAATGATATGATAAAGAAGATATGAGATGATAGGAGTAATAAAGGCAGAGATTCAATTTGTAATGCTGAGTAATAACTTATATAAAAGACATGATCCTCATAGGCCGTATCATTATGGTATTTATAGTGTTATGGTTACTTTGTTATGCTGCCTGAGAATGGCGGCTACTATTCCTACTGAAGGTGTGAGGATGGCTAGTTGTTGCCTGTCGGACTATGTCACAGGTAATGATGGCTATGATTTATGTAACGGCCCAGCCTTACGGCAAATTGGTGTTGTCTCGTGTTCATTGGCTGTTGTGGAGTAGCTGATCTCGCCTCCGTTCAAGCAGTTATATGAAATAGCTGTTTGATTCTTTTTCGAGCGTGTTTTCCTTTCTAGTTAAAGCATCATTTAATGAGCTTTTTTAGTTTGGGCTTTAGGAAGGATCCAAATCAGGTTGTAAGTAACACATTATATATATATATATATATATATATATATATATATATATATATATATATATATATATATAGAGGAGGGGGAGGATAAGACCTTAAAATTTATTTTAAATTTTAACATTATTTATTATAATTAAATTCAATAATTTAAAATTCTTATGAAATCAAAAAAAAATATCAAATAAGATTACTAAATTGAATTATGTATTTTATGATAATCGATTTACTTAAATGATTATAAAATGAATGATATATAACTTTTTAACAATCTGTAATATTGTTATGAGTTCATTCTCTTAAAAAAGTTAATTCAAAAATAAAAATAAAAATTTCATCTCATTTTAAAATAAAACAGAAAAAATATAATATTTATTATATTAAATAAAAAGAAAGCATCTTACGAATTTAGCCCTAACTTTCAGGTTATAAAATGAATACTCATCTCCCATCTTAGCCTTGATAAATCTGTGCAAATTTTCAGGAGCGCAGGACTCATGTTGGGTAAGATAAATAAATTTTTTATACACATAAAAGAGTGGTGGGTTCCACCTCTATTTTTTTCTCTTCTTACCTGTGTATTCCACTGATATATATGAGGAAGGATATTCTTACTACCAAAATTTTCTACTACTAACTTACTACCTATCTAATCACCATTGAATCAAAGAGAGAGAATGCTAAAAAGTTTTTGAAAAAAGAGAAAATGTTGATCCAATGATGATTAGATAGGTAGTGAGTTGGTAGTAAAAAATTTTGGTAGTAAGAATATCCCTCATATATATATATATATATATATATATATATATATATATATGAGGTAGGATCCTTTGACACCGGTGTCAAATTTGAAGTTTGACACCTCATCTGAGACTTGTTAGATCAAAAAATATCAATGATGTCACATGCTTACAAATCAGAGTCGTTGATCTTTTTTGATCTAACGGCTCTTAGATGAGGTGTCAAACTTCAAATTTGACACCGGTGTCAAAGGATCCTGCCTTTATATATATATATATATATATATATATATATATATATATATATAGGGGTAAACATTTCTATATCCACTTTAGATAAGGTTATCTAACACTATCCCAAAAATTACGTCGTTTTGATTAATTAAAGGTGTTTCTGTAATTTAGGTGAATTAATGAAAGGTGTTTCCGTAATTTTTTTATTTTTTTATCGTATACATTTTACAGAAACACCTTCATTAATTCATCTAAAATTATAGAAACACCCTTTATAAATCAAAATGACGTAGTTTTTGGGGTAGCTGTAGATAACCTTATCTAAAGTGACTGTAGAAATATTTTTTTCATATATATATATATATATATATATATATATATATATATATATATATATGAGGTAGGATCCATTGACATCAGTGTCAAATTTCAATTTTGACACTTTTTCTGAGAGCCCTTAGATACAAAAAGATCAACGACTCTGATTTGTAAGCATGTGACACCATCGATATTTTTTCATCTAACGGCTCTCAGATGAGGTGTCAAATTTAAAATTTGACACTGGTGTCAAAGGATCCTATATATATATATATATATATATATATATATATATATATATATATATATATATATATATATATATATATATATATATATATATATATATATATATGGGACTATTATTTCAGCAGTAGTGACTAGGGGTGTAAATAAGTTAGGCCGGCCTACAGGGGCCTACGACCTAGCCTATATTAGGTCAGACTGGCCCTATTACAAATAGTCAAATAGAATAGTTCTAGACTTTTAAAAAAACCTATTTAAAAAGCAAGTCATAGGCTTTTTTGTACATGTCGGGTCTATAAGCCTATATAATATTATTTATTTTAAATGAAATAAATAAAATTATTATTTTAATAATTTTAAATAATAAGGTAATATTGTTTGAGTTTTTTTTTTAATTTTTGAATGTTTAATAGGCTTAAATAGGTTAACAGGCCTAGACTAAGGCTTCTATTTTTTAAATATAAGTCAGGTCAAACTTGTAATTTAGGGCCTATACAGCAGGCCAAACCAGACTTAAGTTTTTTAACACAGGCTTGGCCTTTTTAAGCAAAAGCGCCCAGCTTATTTAGAGTGTGTTTGAATGGCCTTCTAAAATAAACTACTTTTATACCCTACTTGTTTTAAAAGTGCTTTTTATAAAAGTTAAAACTATTTGGATTTTTGAAAAAATATTTTTTTTTTGAAAAAACATTTTGGCTTTTGACTTTTGCGCTTTTGAGAAGCTAAAATTTTTAGCATTTGAAAAAAGCATATTTTTAACTTTTTTTTATGACTTCTGTTTTTTTAAAGGCAGGCATCCAAATCCACTTTACAATAGAAATGCTTTTCTTTTATAAAAAAAAGTAACTTTTGAGTGGAAAAAAGCTCATCCAAACGGGCCCTTACACCGCTAGTAGTGACATAAATAATACTTATGCTATATACACACAAAAAACATTCCCTCTCATTCCTCCAAAGCATTCTCTCTCATATCTCATTGTGTTTGTGGCATAAAATATTATTTTTGCCACAACTGCAGAAATAATACTTTCTCCTCTCTCTTTATATTTATATATATATACATACATATATATATATATGTGTATATATATGTGTGTGTATATATATATATAGGGCTTATCATTTCTCAAGCTGCCGAGATAATTTTATCTCCGGCTACTAAATCATAACTATATAAAGATGGATCAATGGTGATAAAGAAAGAGAGAGAAAAAAAGAATCCTAACCATTCAAAGGTGAATGAATTAATATAAGGAAATAAATAAACAAAACGACGTCGTTTTGGTTGGCCAGAGATAAACTTATCTCAAGTTGTCGGAGAAATATTTTTCCCATATATATATATATATATATATATATATATATTACATACATTCCAAGATGAATTTTTATTCTCATTATCTAATTGTTTTTTAATACAAGCAATGTTCATATCTAGATTACAACTATAGGAGTTAATGGTCCATTAATATGATGGTTATAAAATCATAAAGTAGGATAATTACATCATTAACATCAATGGTTACAAAATTTAAAATGCAAATTATCCATAAATTAATATTTTACATGAGAATATATTTTATTCAAAATTTGAACATTATTTACCATAATTAAATTCAATAATTTAAAATTCTTATGAAATAATATATATATATATATATATATATATATTTATATATATATCAAACAAGATTACTAAAATGAATTATATATTTTATGATAATCGATTTATTTAAATGATTATAACATGAATGATATATAATTTTTTAACCATTTATAATATTATGAGTTCTTCCTCTTAAAATAAAATTCATTAAAAAAATAAGGTTAACGTTTCTCTTCTACAACTCAACAATATCGATATTGTTTTGGTGTTAGAATAAAAAATAGGAAAAAGATATTGTAACAATCAAGTTATGTTACTATCATGTTACTACCAATCAATCTCAACTTTAGATTGATTATGTTGATCCAACGATTATATTTATTTTCATCTTTATATGATCATGATTCCCTATATTTAGAGTGAAAGCATTAAATATGGAAAATCATAACTATATAAAATTGAAAATAAATATAAAGTATTAAATTTGAGAAATCATGACCATACAAAGATGGAGAAATAAATATAATCCTTGGATCAACATAGTCGATCTAATGGTGAAATTAATTGATAGTAACACAACTTGATTATTACACTACCCGTCGATTGAAAAAATAATGGTTATCGGTTTGAAAACTTATCTCGCATCTCTATCTTGATAATCTGTGCAAATTTTCAGGGCGCAGTCAAATTTTTTTTTTTAATATATTCCTAATCTTCCATTCTTTCACTTCTTGATATCATTGTTTTTTTTTATTCTTAATCTTCGATTTCCATGAATTACATGCCAAGAATAGATGTTGAAGGTGAGAGGTATGATCAGGTGATGAACACGTGGGTTTAAGGCTCATCGTGGTGAAAGCTTTCACACGTTTATTTTCTTGGACGTGCCATGTAGCCGCCTCGCACGTGCCAGTGCCGCCACTTCATATTCAAGAACATGCTTTCTTTTTATCCTCTCTCTCTTTCACTTCTTGCTCTCTCTTTCTCTCTCCTCAGTTTCTCTTTCTCTCTCTAGAAGACAATTCTGTTCGCATAATGTCGGGGAGAAGGAGGACGAAGTTTAAATCGTAAGCTTCTCTTCTGCCTAATCCAAATCTGAATTTTGCACTGCCATTACTAATTTACTTTTTTTTTAATTTTTTTTTATTAATTAATTATATGAAACTTGTGAAAAATAGTTTTCAGTGCTGGATCAGTGTGGATTTGTTAGGAATGACGGTTTTTATTTGGTTTCTGTCTTGTTATTGAGTCTGAACACTGAATTTGAAAATAAAAATGGTTTATGGCTTGTGGTTTATGATTGTGAATGAACTAGGGTTTGTGGATCAGATCAGATCAGAGTTGGATTTTTTTACAAGATTGGGTTATTCTAGTGTGAATTATTGAGAATTTGAGTGTTGTATACATGTTTTTTTTTTTTAATTTTAATTTTAATCATCTACTATTAATTTTAAATAATAATTAACTTGTGTATGTTTTTTATTTTCTTAATCTCTGTTTGATCTAATTCTCAGTCTGAGTTTTTGGTATGCTCCTGTAAACCCATATCATTTTTTAAAGTATTCCTAGTGATGGTGGTATTATTAATTATTGTATTATATACTTGTCACGATATAAACATCCAATTTTATGTTTTACAAACCTCGAGTGGTAGAAGAAGTGAGATGAGATTGGTATACATATTTATTGGGATAAAGGTCTGTTCAAATCACAGTTCTAATCTCTTTTACCCTTGCTGTTGTATCTTAAGTGCATTGAACTGTTCAAGTGAATTTGCTCCACTACTCTCTTACATGTATCTCTAATTATTTAGGTTACGTGATACAATCACTGACAGCAGAAGAGCAGCAACGGAGGTGAAAAATGAAATTTTGGAGCTGCAATCCTGGTCTGATCTCCCTGCCGAACTCTTAGAATCAATCTTGTCCCGTTTAACCCTAGATGATAATGTTCGTGCTTCAGCAGTTTGCAAGAGTTGGCACTCTGTTGCAACTGCTGTACGCATGGTAAACCAATCACCGTGGCTAATGTATTTTCCAAAATTTGGTGACTGGTGTGAATTCTATGACCCCGTGCACCGTGAGACCCATTCCGTTGAGTTGCCAGAGTTGAGTGGATCTAGAGTTTGTTATACAAAAGATGGTTGGTTATTGCTATACCGGCCCAGAAATCACCGAGTGTTCTTCTTTAATCCCTTTACTCGGGCAATTATCAAATTGCCAAGATTTGAGATGACATACCAGATAGTTGCCTTCTCTTGTGCTCCAACATCACCGGACTGTGTTCTGTTTACTGTTAAGCATGTTAGTCCTACTGTTGTGGCCATTAGCACATGTTACCCTGGGGCAACAGAATGGACCACTGTTAACTATCCAAACCGCTTGCCCTTTGTCAGTAGCATGTGGAATAAACTTGTATTTTCTAATGGACTCTTTTATTGTCTGAGTCTCACAGGTTGGCTAGGGGTATTTGACTCATCTGAACGCACTTGGAGTGTTCTGTCAGTACCTCCACCTGAATGCCCAGAGATTTTTTTTGCCAAAAATTGGTGGAAAGGGAAATTTATGACAGAGCATGAAGGAGATATAATAGTAATTTATACATGTTCTAGTGAAAACCCCATTATTTTTAAGTTAGATCAGACATTAATGGAATGGGAAGAGATGAAAACACTAGATGGAATAACTCTTTTTGCTGGTTTCTTATCTTCCCATTCAAGGACTAACCTCCCTGGAATAATGAGAAACAGTGTCTACTTCTCTAAAGTTCGTTTTTATGGAAAGCGATGCATTTCATTCTCTCTTGATGACCATAGATACTATCCTCGTAAGCAGTGGCATGACTGGGGAGAACAAGACCCTTTTGAAAACATATGGGTTGAACCACCAAAGGACTTCTCTGGGTTCACATGAAGAATATTTGTGAAACAAGTAAGCATTCCCAAATCAATAGTGTATAGTGCTATTTGTTATCACTTTGTTTTTAACTTTGTGTTATATCAGTTGGATATATGCTTTCGAGCAATGCATAATAAGCTAGTGTGTTGTTATTCCTCACTAAGTAATTCATGTATATTTGAATTTTTCATTGAAGTTATGCATGTTTTTATTATTTGATTATCAATGCTTGCTACATGCAAAGTAATCCAGGATGCACTCATTCAGTAATTCTTATCAATGTTTAGTTATAGGATTTAATTTTGATCCGATGTAACTGTAAAGTTTTCACGTTATGATCTAATATTTATTGACTTTCCATGAAAATAGCTTGACAAAGACAATAACTATCTAAAATTCAAACTTTTCTAATGATGTGTCAACTTGGGATTGAATGATAGTAAAAAAAAATTTACATGACAGTGAATCAAAATTAATCTCTAAAGTTTTATTCAACTTGTGTTAATACTTTATAGTTTATAGTATCTCCGGTTTCGGTCATAAATATATATGATACTTGGCATTTACTGCACTTTTTAACATAAAAGTTCTTGTAATTGCATTTGAATATTTTACTGTCAATGTTTTAAAAATGGCCATGGTCGTTGTTGGGTTTAGAAATATGTGTGTTGCAATTTATGATTTTGAATTAGGTTTTAAAAATTTAGACAGTTTCTTTCATTTGCTTGTAGCAATTAGCTTTCATAAAATTTTTGTATAAAGTTCCGTATGATGTATAAAATGTTGAGATAATCTCTAAGGGTAGTAAGCAACTTTGGAAAAGTTGGATAGAGAAAATCGAGAAGTTGTAAGCAGAACCAAGTTCCATGTCACAAAGGAGCCTTGATAAAATAAATATTGCTTTTCTTAAACGATAATCTACCTTCATTTATTAAGCAATAAGTATCTTGTTCTTGGTTTTTGTGAAGTATGAAGGGAATTACTTAAACAGGAAGTGAGGAAATCAATCTCTACGAAAATCTATGTTGGAATGCAGCATTTTCATTCAGCTGTCTTAGTGCATTAATGTGATTCTTAATCCTGAGCATGAAAATTTTCCATATTGCAGTTTCATGAGTTCCTTGTTACCGCTCTTTTACTAAAGCTCATTTGGAAACATGCCGAAGGCAGCATCTTTACAAGCTGTATATAGGAGGAGGGTACTAATATGTGAAGGAATCAGATCTGTTGGGCTAAGCTAAAATTACTTACCCACTTGATCGTCTTGTCTCTGCTGATCTAGAATTTTCAAGATTCTTCCCAACGCAGTAGTGGCATAGTGCCTTATGCAGAACAACTGGGTTTCATACTTAGATTACCAACAGATTTATTGACATTTTTATTTTGGTTATATGATCTTAGATTTATTATCATGATTGTTATTTTGGGCATATGATCTGTAGATTTACTATCATGATTGTTATTCATCTTTCATTGTCTGTTTGACTGTCTACAATTTCAATCCTAGCTGTTTTTTTTTTTTTTTGGGTAAACAATCCTAGCTGCTTTTACTAAGTAGAAGCTTGTTTTAATGAATTCTCGGTGAAACTATGTGAGCTACAGTACACGCTGTTATACTGCTCATGCACTCGTAAATGTCTCGAGCTTCTGTAAGGTTTGCCGATAAAATGTGCGCGCATCATGAATGGAAAAGTATGCAGGAAAAAAGAAAAAATCCATAAATCTAGATTATAATGAAGTATACTTTTTATGTTACCAGTTTCATTTGGAAGCAAATAAAATGCTCAAGGAAGTTTCTGATAGTCCCCCCGCTATAATTCATAAAACAAAGTAAAAATTGTATTTAGACTAATGACAACTGATTTAAGTATCGGAATTACTTTTAGGAGCTGTTTGGTAGGAGTAATTATTTTAGAATTCTAGGAAAGTGAGAGTGGGATTTGTATTTACCCATGTTTGGTAGAAGTTTTTGCAGAATTTTTTCGGACATCTAATTTGTCCAGGATTTGCATCTGTGTAAATTGTGTTAAAATTTTTCTTTCCAAAATACCACCAAAGGTGGTATTCTTGGAATACCTGAGGATGGAATTTTGGAACTAAATTTGTGGGACAATATTACCCTTGAATCTGCAGAAATGAGAGCAAGTCAAAAGCTTCAGGGAGAGATAGATTGTGTTCTGAAGAAGGTCCAAGAAGGCGTCGAAGTCTTCGTTTTCGATTTCCACTGTTTTCGACTATAAATCACGTGAATCAATGGTGGTTTCTTTCTGGTTTATGTTTATGACATGGACAATGCGAACCAGAAGGATAAATTCGAGGCTGACTTGAAGAAGGAGATTAAGAAGCTGCAGAGATATAGAGACCAGATTAAGACTTGGATTCAGTCTAGTAAGATTGTTTCTCTGTGTTCTTCACAACGAACAAAATCATATTTGAATAAAAAAAATTAAGGTGCCCTTATTTTCTTAAAATAATTTTACATTCCCAATAATATTTCACAATCAACCTAACACAGATTCAGTAAACTTACTCAAATAATCCCAGTAATATTTTGACATACCAAATAACTTTTTAGTAATATTTCTGAGTAATTCATTTTTCCATCATATTTCTGGAAATCATGATTCTCAGTCACCAAAATATTTCTCCCATACTAAATGTCCCGTTAAGGAATTTTTTTTCTTCTGCTTAAAAGAATATAACTGAACCAAATTCTTTCCATATTCAATTAGTTAAGCTAACTGGTGTCGGCAAAATAGTATGTAATTGCAGTTTTTTTTTATTTAATTTTACAAATTTTGTTGATAAGAACACGCAATAATTTCTGTTCAATTTAGATGAAAAGTATACTTTAATTTGAGAGAAGTACCACTAACTAACTGGGCTTAAATTCTATGTCTTTTCTCCATGTTTTTAAGTATTGTTTAACAATTATCAAGAAAAAAAAAGTGCTACCAACTAAGAGTTATTTTTCCTAGTTGATGCTTGATAATACTCTATTAGCGAGACAAAAAGGGTGAAAGATGATTTGAATACTTAGAATCGTACCATATATTAGCAAGGAAGGATGCAAAAAGTAAACCAAGAAAGTTCCATTACACTAGCACTAAGCATATAGATTAACAGTAAAGGGTTGTTCCAGCTTAATTAATAATTTTGAGTTCGAGTTTTGGATACGTAACTGTGTTAAAAACTTAGAAGGAAAATTTTTGTTATCCTCGTAATCCTGCTTGGCTCGACCAATTTAATCGATGAACCAATAGAAAAATAATAATAATAAAACCTCTAGTATACTAACAAAATAATCCATGCTTCATGCTCGACCAAATTAATCGATGAATTAGTGAAGAAATAATAATAAAAAAACCCTCTAGTATACTAACAAAATAATCCATGCTTAATGCAAAGTAACGGTAAAGACATAATTAATATGCATTGTTGTTCCAATGAATTTTTATTTTTTTTTGGTAACAATTCCAATGATTTTTGTGCAATACATTTGTCCGAATTGTAACACGAAAAGATTTTCTTGTACCAAGATATGTCTGAAAATACTACTCTCTCTTTTTCTTTTAGTATAAAAAAATTTAAATATGGTTAGACACTGGTATTCCATAAAGGCCAGACAAAATATCTCAACCTCATTCAGAATTTTTGAGAGGAATTCCAACAAAATTCTCACATCGACCAGCGAGGTTCAAATTTATGCCCTTGTAAAATATGAGTCAAACCCTTAATCAATTGTGCTCACTTTTATTGGTATCTACCTCTTTTAAAACATTTTTACATGTTATCTTTAAGAGAGAGGTTATATTTGTTCTGTTTGAGAGATAGAGATGTCCAGCCGGTGGCTGGTATATTTTATGTAGGATCTATGTGCCCTCTCTCAGGTATCTATGAATGAGATATCTTTTGATGGTAGGCAGATCACTATGCACAAATATAATCGACATAGTCAAGACGTGGGATGTGTGCACAGTGACAAGCTAAGAGAGAGAGTTTAGAGTGTGTGTACCTTATTGATTTAATCCTTTATTTATAGATGAATTACCTGATAGGAGTGCATTTCTGGGCCTCTCAGGAATATCGGGGGGCCCAAGTCTAACTGCTTAGCTGTCTGGATATGATTGTCATTAATAGGAGATGTCCTTCCTTTTGTATTGTCCTTTATTGGTCCTTCTAGAATATGGGCCTTTGTTAGGTCCATAACAATATTTATAACTTATTTCTGCTTATAACCTCTTGTAAACAAATTTTAATAATTGATTTTTACCAATATGACGTTTATAATTTATTAAAAATTAAAAATTAATTAATAAATATGACTCAATGTTTATAAGGGTGTGTTTAGTTGGAGGATTTTGATGAGATAGATAGGCAAATGAGAAGTGGGATTGTTTAATCACCATGTTTGGTTTAACGATTTCCTGCTTGCCTACCAAAATCATATAGCCAGCAACCGACGTTTGCATGTCATTTTGATCAAAATAGCCGGCCAACATAAACCCACTCGACATGTGGTATTGTCAAATATCTACCTAAATGGTAAGTGCGTTTACTAACCAGATGACCAGCGTACCCCCTGATTTGGTGTAGTGGCTATATGGTTGTGGATCGGTGAAGGGAGGATGATGTAGGTTTGTGGTGGCTGTTAATGGAGGGCGGTTCGGTGATGGTGGTCGTTTGTGAGCTTGTGGGTTTTGTAAAAAAAAATTGGTGAAGTGTGGATGGTGATGGGTTTGACCTGCGGTGGTTATGAAATTGGGTTCCTCGATTTGAAGATGGCTGGTTCGGTGGTCCGATGGTGGTTGTGGGTAAGGGTTGGACGATTTGGTCTTCAAATGAAGATGGGTGTTTGGGTCACTGGTGGTGTGTGGTGGTGGCTGAGGAGGTTGGCTGGAGTTTGTGAAGGCTGATGGCTATGGTGGTTCGAAGATAGAGGTTGGGGTTTCTCGGTTGGACAGCCGCAATGGTGATTGTGGGTTGTGAAGAAGGAGATGAGACGGTGGTTGTGGTGTAGTCTTGGCTGGCTTGAATCAGTGAGGGGGGTTGTGGATGGTGGTTATGGCATTTGCGGTGGCTTCCGGTGGTGGAGATGGTGGTTTTTGGCTGTGGGGCGGTGGCTGAAATAAAAAATAAAAATAAAAATAAAAAAATAAAATAAATATGACACAAACTTTTTTTTACAGATGGATGTTGCGTTAATGACAATCCTTTTTACGGATAAGGGGTACAATGCGTTATTCAAAATATTTTAAAAATGGAGTTATTTTCGTAAAAATAACTTTTTTTCCCATCTATATTTTACCTACACTCAAACATAGACTTTATAAAAGTTATCTAATTTCTCCATCAAAATTTTATCCAACCAAATAACTTTTTTTATATTTTCTTACCAAATTCACATTTCAATCATTTCCCTAGTAATCACATTTTCTTATTATTCATAAAGATTTCTCCTCAACCAAAAATTCCCTGAGATTATTGTAAGCAAAAGAGGTTGTAATTTGTGAAATATAACCTCTCCAATCTTCTTCAATAGGATTAATGTTCTATTATAAAATATTTTCGACACCCAATGGGTGCAGCTCAGTTGGTAATTTGGCGCTGAGTTAGTGGGGTTGGACATGTGTTCGATTCCTGCTGAATGCATTCTTGGGAGGGGGCTGAACCTTTAGCCATCACTGCTCCCCCGCACTCCGGATTAGTCCCATAGCCGGCTGAAAGAGTCGAAGCTCGTGGGGATACCGGAGGGAGCCAACTCGCCTCAAAGCTCGTGGGGATACCGGAGGGAGCCAACTCGCCTCAAAGAGATAATTAGGGTTGGGTAACTCAAAAACAAATATATATATTTTCGACCATTAAGACTTTTTTCAAATTTAAAAAACTACAAATACGTAACCCTGATTACGAGTCTCGTTTAAAATTCACTCGAGTCATATAACTTTTCCCCTGTATACTTATCCAGATCATGATCAACTGGGGAGAATTTTCATTTGAGCAGTCAATTCTTCTACTTTAAAAAATTTGAAGCTCAATTTAACAAGAAAACCACCGATTTCATTATATTAATTTTTTTTTTTCAAAAATAAAAATGATCACATGAGTTCTTAAAATAGATATTTCGTTGAAGACTTAATGGATATTTAAAAATTAAAAGTACTAATTTCCATCATCCCTAATAAATGAATGAGACGTTTCATGAACGCAATTTCCTCTCAATTCTGTCAACCCTATGTATGATTGTTTAATCATGAACACTTCCAAGAAGAAGAAGCACAACAACACCACCATTCCCAATTTCCCATTCCATTCTCACGAAGCACAATCAGAAGAAACAACAAAATACAATGTCAAAGTCATTGTCATCGTCACCGTCCATTTTCGTAAAACCACACACTCGATACCAATTCCGATTCCAACACCAACACCACCTGAAACTGAATCCCACAAAACACGCTTCCTTAAGAATCCAAAACTCAACACAAACACTTGAATTCCTCAAACCTTACGTTATCTCACAGCACAAAACCATCCTGTGTGGTTGGTTATGCAGCGCCGTATCCGTTTACTCTCTCTCCAACATCCTCTCGAAATTCTCCGCAATCACAACCGCACCCATCGACGCTACTCAGAGTTTCGCGTTGGGGGGTTTGGTCATTTCACGCTTGGTCGCTAGCTACGCGCAGCACGCGCTTCTATGGGAAGCTGCACTCGACGCCGTTTACAAGCTTCGCCTTCACGTCTTCGACCGCGTCATGGAGAGAGAATTGGATTATTTCGAAGGCAAAAACGGTGTTTCAGCTGGCGACATTGCTTATCGAATCACCGCTGAAGCTTCTGACCTTGCCGTCACCTTATACACTCTTCTCAATGTGGGTAACAATAAGAGAAATTATTATTATTATTTCGGAATGAATTCTATTACGATTTTAATAATTTATTTTTTATACGACGATGAAGTTTGAATCTATGGCCTCATGTAAGTTACCAAAACCATTATACCAATCTTAGTGACTTCATTTTGATAATTTTGTGTTTATCTTGTCACTCCATTGACATTAAAAGTTGGGGTTCAATTAAAATTTATGAATAATCATCATGTCATATGAAATTTTAATATTAAAGGCCTAATTATTATTTACCTTTTGATAAATTTTTATTTTATTTTATGTGTTATTATGGGATGATAAGACTGTGTTTCTGACAGACCATAGTACCCAGTACTCTGCAGTTGTCGGCAATGATGATGCAGATGTTAGTTATAAGTCCTGTCCTTTCTTTGATTTCAGCCATGGTGAGTTGGGTATTTTTTATTTTTTTTTAATTGATTTATCAGTGCTAGTATTAAGGTAATTGATTGTTGAGGGGTATAGTGTTTGCAAATTTGCAGGTTATTCCTTGCATAGTGCTAGTTGTTGCCTTTCTTGGTCAACAGCTTCGTAAGATATCTAAAGAGTCACATCTTAGCGTTGCTGCACTCTCAGCATATCTTAATGAGGTAACTTGATAAATTTCCAGTATTAATGTTGTGATGTACTGTGTGTGCTATGTTTACTAAAATCAGAAACATACGAGTTATATAAATTGTATAAATGCATTTACTAAAACGGCACATATAACTAATGTAAATGAAATCATTTACTTGTATAAATGAATGTTAGTGAGAGAGTTATGTATTCTAGGAGTACTAAAAATTTACTCTTTCATTGTTTTAGTGTTTAGGATTTGGTATTCTGCCTTATGCGTTGATGCTGTTGATGTTGTATTATTATTATTATTTCAGATGCTGCCTGCAATTCTCTTTGTGAAAGCAAACAATGCTGAGTTGTGTGAGAGTGCCAGGTTCAAGAGACTGGCTCTGATGGACTATTCTGCTAAGCTGAACAAGAAAAAGATGAAAGCAGTGATTCCTCAGGTTATACAAGCTATTTATTTTGGAACCCTTTCCATACTTTGCGCTGGCTCCTTGGTGATTTCAAGAGGTTCATTTGATCGCTGTAGCTTGGTTTCATTCGTGACATCATTGCTCTTCTTGATAGAGCCAATCCAGGTATTGCTATCAGTTGAGGTTGAGGCCTTGCCATTATGCCCTCAATTCTCCTTCTCTTTGTTTTTCCCCCTCCATTCATAGGTTATTACTTTCATCCTAGTAATGCAAAAACCTTTTAAGCTGACTTAGGTATTGGTGTGTTTTAAATGTCCTCTGTAGCGTAGTGTGGTCCCTTTATTTGTTTTTGTTTTTGCTAATTATTATTTTTATTGTTATCATGGTTCAGCTCTTTAGGAGCTTGTCTTTGGTTATCCACTCCCCATTGAATCCTGACTAACGAGAATAGGGGTTAGGGCAATTCTTATATGCAATCTTACCCTTGCATATTTTTGCAAGGAAGCTGTTTTCCGAATTCAAGCTTGTGACCTTTCAGTCACAAAGGAGCATCTTTACCACTGTTCCATGTTCACCCTCCCAGCTGTCTTTGGTTATCAATCTGAAATAAAGAATCACGCAGGATATAGGAAAAGCATACAATGAATGGAGGCAGGGAGAACCAGCTGCTGAACGTTTGCTGGCTATGACCAGGTTCAAAGATAAGGTAAATGCATGACTTGTGATCTGCGTACTTGTTTAATTTCATCTTTTTCTAATATTTACTTTTAAATTTGAATGAACATTCTGTTTGAAATTTAAAAGTTCTGAACTTCTGATAATAAGAATATATATACAGGATGGTTGTTAAGCACATAGTATCCACTGTTCTGTTTTTCAAAAAATTTAAGTCAAGGTAATATGTTGTACTGCAATAATAGATAAATTTCTTTTCTCAATAATAGGTGGTTGAGAAACCAGGTGCTGTTGATTTAGGCCATGTTACAGGGGATCTGAAATTCTGTGATGTCTCCTTTAAGTATAATGATGAAATGCCACATGTTTTAAATGGATTGAATCTCCACATTAGACCTGGAGAGATAGTTGCTCTGGTGGGTCCTTCTGGTGGAGGTAAAACAACACTTGTAAAACTGTTGCTTCGGCTTTATGATCCTATATCTGGTGAGTCTTTTAAACTAAATATAAATACTTTTTTTTATCATATGTAGCTCAGCATGGGGATAATGATTTATCAAATACATTTGTTACACGAACTGGTCTTAGTTTTACACTCATTTGTCATCTTTCTTATCTATAACTTTTATCTATTTTCTTATGCCTGCAGGTTGCATACTGATTGATAACCATAACATCCAAAACATTCGGTTGCAAAGTTTGAGAAGACATGTTGGTCTTGTTTCTCAAGACATAGTATGTGGCTCATGCCTTTGTATTCTTTTTCTTTTATTATGCAGAATTTGTACTGTACTTCATGATACTCATAAGAATTTAAAATGTCCTTGTTTATCCAGCTTGAATTATTTCTGCTATTTTTGACAAGCTTTTAGGGGCAGTTTGGCAACTCTCAAAACTGGTTTAAAACTGCTTAAGATAAACTAGGCATATAAATTCAAGTTATTCTATAACTAGTTTTGATTTTTAACGAATACTTAGTTTGGTTAAAAATTGTTTTAAACCGGTTCTTGTCTGAGCTATCTTTAAGTTCATATAAATCCAAGAAACTTAGCATGCTTATTGAATTGGATTAATGAGTGCTCCCTACAATTATCTCTTAGCAGAGAGAGGGAGAATGAAAAGGAAGAGAGAGAATTAAAAAGATATGGACTAGAAAAAGAACCAACTTTGAAATGGTTTTTTAAAGAATAAATTTTATCTATGAGAACCAGTTTTTAAAATTTTAGTTAGCTACTAAACACCTTGTATTTAAAATGTCCCCATTGCACTTAGATATCTGGTTTTTGAAAGTTACCAAACACCCCCTTTAGCTTTTCTTTTTTCCTTCCCCTAGTATGTTTACCATCTGATCTTGTGAAGTGTTTTATTATATCAATTATTTGGTATTCTGGTAGCATGAATAGTTTATATCTACTGATTGCTAGCATGAATAGTTTATATCTACTGATAACTTGTGATTCGTTGTAAGTTTATTCGTCATGCAAATTTCTTATTGTTTGACTAGCAGTATCTATGGCTATCTCAATAATACCGATGTATACACTCTAGACACTTTTTTCAGGTACAGTTGCTGAAAACATTGGTTATAGGGATCTGACAACAAAAATTGACATGGAGAGGGTGAAGCATGTAGCTCAAACTGCTCTTGCAGATGAATTTATTAAAAAACTTCCACAAGGATACCAAACCAATATTGGACCAAGGGGCTCAACTTTAAGTGGAGGCCAGAGGCAAAGGTAAATGTTCAAATTCAAACTTCATTCTGTTCTCCTATAAACCATGAATGAACCGCTTTATTTTGTTTTCTGTTTGAGGGGGAGCATTCTGAAAGGTATGATTAATGTAAAGACCAAATTTGATGAATTGGATATTTATGAAACTTCATCATTGATCCATGACATCTTTCATTGAACTGTTACTTCCTTTCTCAAAATTACAGGTTGGCTATTGCAAGGGCACTCTATCAAAATTCTTCAATATTAATTCTGGATGAGGCAACTTCTGCTTTAGATAGTAAATCTGAGTTAAAAGTGAGACAAGCTGTAGAGCGTTTGATGGAAAATCGCACAGTGAGGCAACTAGCCTTTTGTGTCCTTGACATGTGACCTTTTCTTTTCTTTATAATTATCCTACCTGCATGTGCTGTTAGAAACATAGGCACCAACTATAAGAATTGCATGATTTGCTAAATATTTGTTGTGCATTTTGTTTTTGTTTTTTTATGAAGTTTATGTTATATCTCTGATACATTCAGGTCTCAGTTTAAATCACATGACCAGTATGTTAGGGCTCAACTTTTGGTTGCCAGAGCTATTTTGCAATTATGTTATTTTTGCATCTTATTTTGTTACCTTTTATTTACTCAGTATGTTTGTAATATGCTTTACCGAGACCTTAACTACATTTTATAGTTTTCTTGAATTTATTGGTTAATTTTTTGCCCTCTTAGTAATTTGTATATCTTTATCTTCCCTATTAAGCACTCAAACTTTCTTCCTATGTTAATTGGTAGGTGCTTGTGATCAGCCATCGCTTGGAAACAGTTCTGATGGCTAAACGAATATTCCTTTTGGATAATGGGAAGCTAGAAGAGCTACCTAGATCAACAATGTTGGATGATCACAAGGATTCATTGCTAGCATCCGGGCTTGTTATTTGAATATTTCTTGTAAAGGCCATATATTCACATTTAAGTTTCACGGCAATGGATTCTATTAGAAATTTTATTTTATTTTTAATTGAGATATTCTAGATCTTTCTCTTTTCTAGTTATGCTCTTCTATATAAAAGCCCCTTATTGTACAAATTAATTACCCAATCAATGAAATCAATATTTTCCTTTTTCTCACTTTTACCTTCTAATATGGTATCAAGAGCATTTTCATCCTCCATGAATGGAGTTTCCGCTGCCATCATTTTTTTTTTTAGTTTTCTCTTCATTGATCTTTCTGAGTCTTTTATTTTTCCAGATCCGTGTCTCCTTTGCCAAGATCTATATCTTTTCTCTCCCTTTCTTCAATATCTGTGAATTTTATTTTATTTTTATCATCAGAGCTCTTCGTCTCTTTCTATTTTATTTTTGTTTGATCTCATTTTTCAACTTCATTCATTCACTTTTGTCTCTTTCTGTTTCCTTCGTCACAATGGGATTGGAGGCTTTTTCTTCATCTATTTTTGGTTCGCAAGCAAGTCACCACCTTGCTGTCCTTCGTCTCTATTTTTCGGACCACTGTGCTGCCGTTCGAGTTCGCGTTCCTGTAGCAAGCTGCCGGATCTGGTTCAAATCTCCGTTCGTCTTCGCGTCTCAGTATGGAGGTCTCCGTTTGTGCTTCCTCCTCCTCCACTTAGCACCGTTCAGCTGGCATTGTCTCTCCAGCTTCAGTGACTGCCACGCTGCACCGTCACTGCCCTTGTCTGAGTTACCGTCTCATCGTCGATCGCTTGGATCTGCTGGATCTGCTCGCATGGTTCACCATTCGGGTCCTTGTTCGTGTTGGATTTTCCCCGATCTATAATTTATTTTCTCACCCTATCTCGCTATTTTTTCTTCTTTGGTCTTTTCTGATTTGCGTTTTTTTTTTCATGCCATTTTTTTTCTCTCTTGTTAGTCGACTTCCACCTTTGCCAATCTGGGTCTCTGATATATTTTAATTTCCAGATCTGTCTACTTGTTCTCCTTCACTTCTGATTTTGCAGGCTTGTGAAGATCCACAGAGCTCATGGATTTTATTGTAATACATCATTGTAGTTTTTCATGGATTTTCTTTTTTTTTTCTGTAATTTTTTATTTATTTTTTGATGTACTATCGTTTAGGGGTGTTCATCAACCGATCCAAACCGATTCAAACCGCGAAAACCAAACCGAAAAACCGATAACCGAATAAACCGAAAACCAAAAAATTGGAAACCGAAAGAAAACCGCAAATTTTAATTGGATTGGATCGGTTTTCGGATGGGTTGATGAAAACCGATCCAATCCAAACCGATCCAATATATTAATTATTCTCTACCTACTTGTCCTTTCTCCAATCATAGCCCAAAAATTTCTAAACTCAAGACCCATTAACTCATCAACTAAACCCAAAAAAAAACTTAGTCACGTCTCATCAACTATGGTATTGTTTACTGATATTTTTGTATTTCAAATTTTTTTTTTTTTACAAAGCCAATATACACAAAAGATGTTATTTGCACAATAATCATGAAACTTATTTTAGGATTTTCAAAAAACCGAAAACCGATCCAATCCAAACCGAAAAAAATTGGATTGGATCGGATCGGATTTGAAAAAAAATCTAAACCGAATGGATGATTACATGATCAAACCGAAGGGATTGGATCGGATGAGTTTTGCTTCCAAAACCGATCCAATCCAGACCGCGAACACCCCTACTATCGTTGGCTTATGGTTTGTATTCTGGCCACTTAGATTTTATTCCCACTTATGTTTGTGGTGTTATTTTTGTCATTGTTTGGCATTATTTTGGCTTCCTATTACGGAGGAGCATTGTTCATGTTTTTGATGTTCATTTCAGAACATTTGGTTTTGCCGATGTCCATCCCAGCCCTTCCTTTCTTTACTAGCTCTTCAGACTGATGATCATTCTAGTTGATTTGCTGTGCTACCGATTTCTCCGGATGATGTTTTGTGATGCTTTTATTTTCTTTCTTCCCAAGATAGAGCGTTCATGTTATTCACCCTCCATCTTGAGGGGGAGTATTAGAGATATAAATATTTTATTTTATTTTTAATTGAAATATTCTAGATCTTTCTCTTTTCTAGTTATGCTCTTCTATACAAGACCCCTTATTGTACAAATTAATTATCCAATCAATGAAATCAATATTTTTCTTTTTCTCACTTTTACCTTCTAATAGATTCTATTTGCATATTTCTTGTAAGGGTGATATATTTATGGGATTTATTTATCTCATGTTGCATGAGATAATTATCTCATGCAACACAAGACTTATCTCATGCAACATAAGACAATTATTTCTTTATATTTATTCGCGTTTAGTTTCAAAAATAGTTGGTTGGAATTTACACTTGTCAAATATAACGCTGCAATTTGATATCATGACCAAGAGAAAAAATTCTATGGTCCAGGCTCATATGATAGAATTCTTAACTACTCTCACTCACATATAAAGGGGTAAATAAGGAAAATGAAAGTCAAAGCAGAGATAAAATGGGAAAATATCAAATTTGATTATGAGAGGGATCACAGGAAGTAAGGATGGGACCGGAGCTTAAAATTTTTTTCCCATAACCAAGCAGTTGAGGGAAAATTCATTGGTTTAATACTTGTCATACAGGAGACAAATCCATGGAACTGCTGTGGTATTGATTATTGATTATTCCCTTGTGATAAGTTCACATGCTTACTCTCGGCAATACTAATACTGTGTTACTATGATTAGTCACCCACTTTCATTTTTTATTTTTATTTTTTGTTTCAAAGTCAAGGCTTAACTGATGGTTATGGGTGGCCATAACCATAACGGAAGAATAAATCTAAAATTTTGTTCTCAACAAAAAAGAATATAAATTTTTGTAACTTGCACTCAGATATCAATCATCAGGGTACATTGTGAAAAGGGTATATGATTATCATTTCATGAATACTATTGGGGTTGCTGAGGACTAATTTCAATCAGAACCCAAAACCATAACTATGTGAATTAATTCACGTAAAAAGAGAGAACTTGGCAATAAAACCAAAGTAGATAATCTCTATAAATCTTCTCCATCTGTTGGGGATGGTGAGGTCATTTCTCTCTTAATTTCTTGGCTATGGCAAAGGCAGCTCCTGCCACAGCCACCACTATGCCTGAAATTATAATGGCTGATTTTAGTGTTTGCAATGCTTCCTTCTTTTCTCTTTGCCTTTTCCTCTGCTTTGCCTCAGCTTGTTCCTTCAACCATTCAAGCAAGTATATATATATATATACATAACATCCATCAGTGGATACAAAAGCAAACAGAAAAGAGAAGTTTGTGTTCTTCAAACAAGTCTCATAATTCCATCTAAAAAATGAAGCACAATATATATATATATATATATATATAAAAGAGGGTTATATTGTCGACTTCACTCGAGAGTGTCTTACCGGTAAGACATAATATTATTTGTAGGAGTTTGTAAACAAAAAATTTGTAAATATAATCTTCTTCATATATATATATATATATATATATATATATATATGGAAAAGTGTATATCTTTTTAAAAGACACAAACTTATGTCCTTTTAAGAGAAACATAGATACAAAAAAAGGTGTGGGTCCCACTGAAAAAAATAAAGACAAATAAATAAATAAAGGTGAGCCCTACCTCTTTGTTTAAATCTCTCTCTTAAATGGACCTAAGCTTATGTCTCTTAAGAGGACCTAAGTTTGACAGAAATCATCAGTTAAAATTTGATTTTAAAGGAACTTATCCCTCTATATATATATATATATATATATATATATATAGAGGAAAGTTATACTTACAACCTTTTTTTTACAACCTCTTACAACTATATCTTAACACCGTTGATTTCCGTCAATTAACGGTTATTATTTTTGCAAATTAAACTCATTAATTAATTATTAATTCACAATAAATGATAACCGTTTATTGGCAGAAATCAATGGTGTTAAGATATGGTTGTAAGAGGTTGTAAAAAAAAGATTGTAAGTATAACCTTCCTTATATATATATATATATATATATATATATATATATATATATATATATATATATATATATATATCTTTTGACTCTAGAGCAAGACTTACAACTCTTACTCCTTATTTCAACCGTTGATTTTCGTCCATCTAACGGTTATCTATATCAATTAATTAATTATTAATTTCAAATAAATAATAACTGTAGACGAACGGAAATCAACAGTTGAGATGGAGAGTAAGAGTTGTAAGTCTTACTCTAGAGTCAAAAGATCCCTATATATATATATATATATATATATATATATATATATATATATATATATATATATATATATATATATATATATATATATATAATGACAAAGCCACTTGGAAGTTAGATAGTACCTTGACATTAACTAATTTTTAAGAATGGTTCAATTTTTCTTTAAAAATTATGGTACACCCTTAATACTAATTGAGTTTTTAAAAATAATTCAAGCTTAGCACTCCCTTAATTCTATCTATTTGAATCTTTTGACACAAGCTAAATTTTCATTCTAGCTCCGCCGCTGTATATATATTCCAATGGCATGTTCATTAAAAAAAATGTCCTTACCTTCATTTCCTTGGAGGCAGCCACCTCAGAAGATATAGGATCAAGTTGAACCTGAGTATTATTCCCAGGATTCAGTTCCCCAGCAACATCTGCAGGTGGAAACGTTAGGTCTGAGTTCTGAGGTGGGCTTGCCATTAATTTTCCTCTAGCTTTCAAGTTTCAAGCAATGGTACTCTTAACCACGTTAATGGTATTGGAATAATTGAAGATAAGAGAATAGAAAGAAATAACTCAAACGTTATCAAGGATTCATGGTCAAATCAATGCCAGAAACTTGGTCATTTCTAATTGACACGTGCCACTGTTCCAAATGCTGAGGTTGTTATAGCTTTGGCCTTTAACGTTATAGCCTTATTGTTCTCAAACTTCCGATATACTTGTTCAGCCTTGGCTATACTTTAGGCAATGAGAAAATAAGTATATTTTTCTACCAACCAATAAATAAAGAAAAAAAAATAAGTATATTTAAGAAGACAAAAGGACCCAGTTTGTTTCTACTTTCTGTGTGCTTAAACAATAAATATTGCCATGTTTTTCAAATATATGATATTTCGAAGAAACTATAGACCGTAGATAGAACCTTGCTTTCTATTGCAAATGCTTCCTTCTTCTTTTTAACAAAGGATGTAAATGGGTTAAGCCGACCTACAGAGACCTACGGCATAATCTATATTAAGTCAGACTTGACCTATTATAAATAATAAAATAAAACATGCTTACATTTTTAAAAAAATCTATTTAGAAAACATGCCACAGGTGTTTTTTGTATATGTCGGACCTGTAAGCCTACAGACTGACATATATCATATTTTTTATTTTAAATAAAATAAAAAATTATTATTTTAATAATTCATTTAAAATAAATAAAATTATTATTTGAATAATTTTGAATAATAAAATAATATTAATATAGTTATTCTTTAATTATTGAATATTTAATAGGCTTAAACAGACTAACAGGCTTAGGTCAAAGCTTTTATTTTTTAAATATAGGTCAGTCAGACTTATAATTTAGGGCTTATACAGGCTAATAGGTCAGGCGAGACCTAATATTATTTACACAAACCTGGCCTATTTAAGCCAAAGCCTAGCCTAACCTATTTACACATCTGATTACTGCTATATAATTCTCAAAATCAAAAATTCGATGATCTATGATACAAAGAAAAAACATTGATAAAATACTTTAAAATTGATATAAAATTATTATAACTATAAAGAGTAAATTGAAATAATTTTCACATTTAAAAATTACAATTATTAAATGTTTAATTTTTATATATGACATTTATTTTTAAATTGATCTCTACATCTAAAGTTTTATAATAAAAGATTAAATAAAAAATAATTTTATATGAAAGCCAATTTAAAAATAAATATTGAAAATTGTAAAATATATGAAGATAATTTTACAAATAAATACTCATCTTAATTTTTATTGGTTGAATATGGACATCGATTTTATTTTTTAATCAAGCTTCCACTTAATTCTAAAAAGATTAACGGATGGACAATTTGACAAATCAAATTAAGTTCATGATTGATAAAACTAAAATGAAAATATAATTTAAGAGTAGTTGGTTTAGTGGCGATCTAATAAAATTTCAACGTGCCCAAAAATAACTAATTCAATTTCTCACAAGGATGAGATATTCTTTATAGGGAAGGTTATACTTACAACCTATTTTCGTTTATAATTTCTTACAACTATATCTTAACCGTTGATTTCCGCCAATTAACGGTTAATATTTTTACAAATTAAATTTATTAATTAATTATTAATTCGCAATAAATGACAACCGTTGATTGACACGAAATCAACGATTAAGATATGATTGTAAGATGTTGTAAATGAAATTAGGTTGTAAGTATAACCTTCCTCGTATTGTTATTACCAAATAATATTACTATTAATGTTACTACCATATCTTAATCGTTAATTTCTGTCAATCAACGGTTATTATTTCTACAAATTAAATTTATTAATTAATTATTAATTTACAATAAATGATAATTGTTGATTGACAGACGTATTAAGACATGATAGTAACTTTGGTAGTAACATTTGTAACTCCTAAGAAGGGGAAGAAGTTTAAACTCAAAACCGAATTAATTAGGTTTATTAAAATTGGAAAAAATGTGTGTCATTTTAAAGGATGTAAAGTTGTGTCATTTTAAGAGAGATAAAGGAGGAGAGAGAGAGAGTTGATAAAAAAAATAAAAGTGTGGGTCTCACCTCTTTATTAGAGTGAAAAAATATAAGCTGTGTAATTTAAAAGGATAAACATTTTTTCCATTAAAATTTTATCCACCGATTAAAATTAAAAATACATAAATACACGAGGAGAGAAAAAAATTGAAATAATACAATTTTTGTTTTTGTTGAAAATGAAATAATACAGATAAACTGTAGGAAAGTGTTAAAACACGGTTCGGTTGGGTGGTTCACGCGATTAATGGGCATCCAGCAACACCGTCGCTGGGAGGTGGCGCCGCCAGATTCCGACGACCGGAGACTCCAACCGGGAAACCCAACGACGCCATGGAACTCTAGGCTGCGGCAGCTATCAAAGCAACGCCAATACACAGAAGCACTCACACTGTACCGCAACATGCTTCGCTCCTTCTTCTTCCCCAACACCTTCACCTTCCCTTTCCTCCTCAAATCCTGTGCCCTCCTCTTCCTTCCTCTCACTGGGTCCCAGCTCCATGCCCACGTCATCCGAACCGGGTGCCAACCCGACCCGTATATCCGCACCTCCCTCATATCAATGTATTGTAAGTGCTCACTCCTTCACCTTGCACGCAAAGTGTTCGACGAAAATCCCCCCTGGAAAAACCTGACCATTTGTTACAATGCTTTGATTTCTGGGTACTCCTTCAACTCCAAGGTCGTTGACGCCGTTTCGTTGTTCCGCCGAATGCGGAGAGAGGAGGGGTTGGCTGTTAACTCCGTCACCATGTTGGGTTTGGTTTCTGGGTGTACGGTCCCTACCCATTTGAGCATTGGTATTTGCCTTCATGGTTGTGGCGTTAAGTTTGGGTTTTGTGATGATTTGTCTGTTGCGAATAGTTTGGTCACCATGTATGTTAAATGTGGAGAGGTTGAACGTGCGCGCCAACTGTTTGATGATATGCCCGTGAAGGATTTGATTACGTGGAATGCTATGGTTTCTGGGTATGCGCAAAATGGGCATGCTAGACATGTTTTGGAGCTTTATAATAACATGAAGTTGACTGGGATAAGTCCTGACCCTGTTACCCTTCTTGGGGTTCTGTCATCTTGTGCAAACCTTGGTGCACAGAGCATTGGTCGTGAGGTGGAACGGCAGATAGAGCGCTGTGGGTTTTGTTCCAATCCGTTTTTAACGAATGCCCTTATCAATATGTATGCTAGGAGTGGTAATTTGGTGCGGGCTCGTGCCATTTTTGATTGCATGGTTGACAAGAGTGTTGTTTCATGGACAGCTATAATTGGTGGATATGGAATCCATGGACACGGAGAAATTGCAGTGGATCTTTTTGATGAGATGGTTAAGTCAGGCATCAGGCCGGATGAAACGGTTTTTGTGACTGTTCTTTCTGCATGTAGCCATGCAGGATTGACTGATAAGGGATTGGAATATTTTGATGACATGGAGATGAAGTATGGTTTGCAGCGTGGTCCAGAGCACTACTCTTGCTTGGTGGATCTTTTAGGCCGGGCAGGTAGATTGAAGGAAGCTATGGATCTCATAAAGTCCATTAAGGTAAAACCTGATGGTGCTGTTTGGGGAGCCCTTCTAGGTTCTTGCAAGATACATAAAAATGTAGAGCTGGCAGAGTTGGCCTTTGATCATATCATTGAGCTTGAACCCACAAATATAGGTTACTATGTTTTGTTATCAAATATATACTCCGATGCTAAAAACTTAAAGGGGGTTTTAAAAGTTCGTGTCATGATGAGGGAGCGAAAACTTAAAAAGGATCCAGGATGCAGCTATGTAGAATATAAAGGAAAAGTGCACCTTTTTTACTCGGGGGATAGAAGTCATCCCCAAATAAAGGAAATATATAGAATGTTAGATGAATTGGAAAATCTTCTGAAGGAGATTCATCAACCAGATAAGAAATATCAAGGAAAGAGTGAAGAAATCTTAATTGGTACTGGGGTGCACAGTGAAAAATTGGCAATTGCATTTGGTCTATTAAACACTAGGTCTGGAACAGAGATTACTGTCATGAAAAACCTGAGAGTGTGTGAGGATTGTCATTTATTTATTAAGTTGGTTAGCAAGATTGTCAATAGACAATTTATTGTTAGAGATGCCACTCGCTTTCACCATTTCAGAGATGGAATCTGTACTTGCAAGGACTACTGGTAAAACCAATACAGCACTATTTCTGAAACTTTGGCTTTCGATAGAGCACAATGATGTCCATCCCACCTAGTTGATTGTTGGTATTGGTGAGTGAGGAGGACTGAGAAGAATGCATCCCTGTTGGGAAATTCTGGAAAATATGCATGACACAGTCCTTTAGAAAAAATGAAAAAGAAGAAAAAGAAAGAACTTTGAATTCTCTCAACACGGGAAAGGAAGAGTGGGACCATGACACGGGATATGCAATTTTTACTGAAAGGTATAAGGCATCCATCATCTGCTGACACTAACAGAAGATAAAGAAGAAAGCTAGCTACCTGGCAAAGTACAATCAATGCTGTGTCTGGCATCCATCAGTTTTGTGCAATTTTTTGTGGAATTCTGGAAGATAGAATTCATTCGGATTTAAAAGCTATTTTAATTATTTACTCCCGATCCACATCTTTCTTTTAGAAGTATACTCCAAAGGAAAGGGTGACCAACCTTTCTACCCTTCCCTCCACAAATACCTCCTATCCCTTGCCAGTTGCCCAATTAATGTTGAAAATAGAAAATTCAAAAGATGTTTTCCAGCATGTTTATAGATGAGACTTCAGGCTTCTGACTATCAAGTATCAACACTATCGTGGTACAACACAACAAATAATCGGTTTTAATAAGAAGCTTGCTTTTGATAGTTCTGTCTTGTCAATCTGCAATGACTTAATTGTTTCTTACCCGTTTTATGCCCTCTTATTTCTACTTAACCTCAGAGGCGGATGTAGAAGATAGGAACCAAAAAGTATTGCCAGGTTTATGGTTGGAGATCAAATAGTTCTTAGAGTAATGAAGGACAAATTGTCAGTGCAGGGGATACTTTTGTTGTACAGTACTTACCATACCAATTTCGTTGCCGAAAAAAGGCACATACCAATTTATGGTTAGGCCTATAACTTCAATGTTTAGTTTGCAGATATACTAGTATAAGAATGTTTTATACTACTAATTATGAAATTACATGTCTAAGTGAATTATTCTGTTGTATGGATTTTCCGTTTACTATAATATCTCCTGATATATGTCAAAAAAAAACTTCGCTAAACCTTTAAGATCATGAATGTTGTGATGAAAATATCATTTTTACCTTAACTTTTATGTTGAGAAAAAATAAATTACATTCATTTGAGGTAACCGAGTGAATTTGTTCTTTATCTTTTCTATTATATAAAGGGAAAAGTGTTTGTCCTTTTAAATTATACAACTTATATCTTTTCACTCTCACAAAGAGGTGGGACCCACATTTTTATATTTTTTATCCACTCTCTCCTCCTTTATTTATCTCTTTCTCTCACTTAAAATGATACAATTTTACATCCTTCAAAATGATATATATTTTCCCCTTATATAAAACTGGAGAAATAAGAAAAAATAACATTTAATCACAACAATTAATCACAAGAAGAAAGAATAAGTGCCTGTTTGGATCCTCTTATTTTTAAGCTAGACGCTACTTATAAGCATAAGCTAGGCCAAACAGGTTTTGGAAAAAGCTCTTATAATGAAAAGCTCTTTTTTTTATAATGAAGAAAAAAGCTGAAAATTAAAAGCTCCTTGGAGGAGCTTTTTTTTAAGCTCTGATCTGTTTTTCTTGAATTATGTGCTTTTTTTAAAAATGAAGAGTGATAAAAATAGAGAGAGAAATAATTTTCTTGAAATATGTGCTTTTAACTAATTTTTAAGCTAAATTTTTTATGTAATTTCCAAACAGCTTTTAGCTTCTTTTTTTAAGCTCTTTTTTTTAGCTTTAGCTTATAAGTAGCTTCTAGCTTAAAAATAAGAGGATTCAAACAGGCTCTAAGATTTATATATATACAATGAAGTTATCAATGCTAGTTGGTCTGACTGGCAAAGAATTTGTTGGAACAGTGATCAAAATGTCACTGTTCCTCAACTTTTTTCTCTATATGCCACGTCAACAGTGTTAATTTTCAATATGTCACGTGGGCAAGTTCGCTACTCTAGGTAGCGAACTTGGTTGCAATTAATGCACTTGCATGTTTCTATTTGCCACGTCACGTGGAAGACATGCAACGCAGTTCGCTGCCCGCCCTAGCGAACTTCGTTGCATGTCTGTCACGTGTCATCGTGACAGATGAAAACATGCAGGTGCATTAATTGCAACTAAATTCGTTACCTAGGGTAACGAACTTGGTGTCCACTAGGAACGTGGCATATCAGCAAACTGAGTTCACTACAGTGCCCAACGAACTTATCCACGTGACATATTAGAAATTAACACTGTTGGCTTGACATTTAAAAAAAAAAAGGTTAGGGAACAGTGGCATTTTAACAACTGTTCCGAATTTGTTTTGCGTCTTGGATTTGCTCACTTAAGTAAATTTGCCCAGCTCCATTCAATTAGTTGGGTTTCAGGAAAGACTATTGATTTGGAAGAGAGGAAGGCCGACTGAGAAGCCCTTACCGTGCTTTATACTTTATGGGGATTAAAGTAGCTTTCGGGTACGGAGCTTCGTAGACCAAACAAAAGAAAATGCAAAATAGTTCTATGAACTTTTTTATAAGAAAAATGTTTGTAACAAACTCTCAACATATTATCTATTATGAAGTAAATTTTATGTTAGACTAGGAAAGCATTTTGACTTTTTCTATAAAAGTTTATATAAATTCAAAATAAGCTATCAATGCATGTTGATCGAGTAACAATGAATTTGATTATCTTAAAGTTTCAGGTTCGAATCTTGTAAATGATATAAAAAAAAATGGACGTTCTGAATGATAATTAATATAACGGAGTCTCTGAAGATAACACAAATGCATAAGGAGAGTAATTTTTTAAACATTTTAATATAAGAAATATACCTAAATTATTCAAATAATTATAAATTTTTACATGGATTAAATTAACAAAAAGTTATTTCCAGCAAGTGCAGCAGCCACCGCCAATTACAATTCTAATCACAAATCAAGCCACCAATCACTAATCACACATTAACAGTCTAGTCAAGCCACCAATCACTATAGCAGTGTCAGTTCCAGAAATACATTCATCTTCAACAAACGGGATTGTTCTCCGTAGGGTTAGATTTACTGGAATGCTCCCTTTGCCTGAAAAGTGAAAACCACAAACATGAGGCTGTAGCAGCTTCTCGCTCATAATACTAGCTCAAGTAGTGCTACTGACACAATTGTAGGAGCCACAAATGACCACAACTACAAATGTGGCTGCATCTAACATGCAGCCATGTGTGCAAAATCATGAAAGTAATGTTGTGCAACTAGCATTAATACAATATACTCCTTATAACATAAAATAAGACTAACTACCTGCATTGATGCTGTCCTGTTCTATACAAACGGCAGCATAATGAGAACCAACCAACTCCAGAAGCACAAACTGCCAATTGCTTGAGAGATTCTTCAGGTCATCAGAAGCCTCAACAGTAATTTCAGGTGCCTGCCAACAAGGTAAATTGCTATATGCAGACAAAACCAATAATTCACATGCCAACATTTAATGTGCTAGTAATGAAGCAAGGACTTGTACACTATACAGCAATTCCTGCCCGAACATTAACCAATACATCGAATACCCGTGTGACACAGTTGACTCCAGAAGAAGAATCAGTTCATCAACATATAATATCTCTGTTTATGAGCTCTCTATGTTTCAAACAAATTTAACAAGGGCAAGGCATACCTTAGAAATTGTATGAGGTGGAATATGGATGCCTCCTTTCATATGATCTCTAAATCGAACAGTAAAAGTTTTGAAAGGTGAAGCTGAGAAGCCCTTCCCTAATGCTTTTACATATGCCTCCTATAAATGGGAAATATCTCTGTAAGTGACAGCTGCAGAACAGCAAAACATGGATTGAATTTAAACCTCCAACGACAAGTTAAGCTTGTTCACTACATTATGCTTATAATTATTGTGAAAGATATTAGTTTCAAAGGAAATTTATGCATACTACACTACATTTGACTGCTCACTTGAATACTTTACTCAAAAATAAGGAACTTGTAAATAAATCAAAATTTAAAAAGATGTTTTAGATATCTCCTGTGGGAGAGAACTACAAAGATTATTTTTCTTGGAACTTACGAAAATAGGTAACAAAATGTTTGCAGTCTCACATTAATTGTGTAGGCAACTAGTGTGAGATTTATAAGGCCTAGGACACTCCCACCCTTTGAGCTAGCTTTTGGGGTGGTGATCCCATGGGTCCCAATCATTTGGTGCTTTCGTTGAGAGTCAGACCGCGGAAAGGGCTACCTGATAAGTGGGTGAAGCCGCCCAAAGGGGAAAAAGGCTACAACCGGATCAGAGTGGAAGCCTCCGTGAACGTCGGCCTTAAAGAGGGGGGGGGGGGCAATGTTAGGAGTCCCACATTGATTTGTAGGCAACTAGTATGAGATTTATAAGATCTTGGGTACTCCCACCCTTTGAGCTAACTTTTGGGATGGTGATTTCATGGGTCCCTATCACAAAACATCAGGACACCTTTGAAAAATATTTTATTAATTTGCATATTTACCTAATGAGAAGAAATTCAAATCACATCTTTTATGGCTTTACCTATCAATTAATGTAAGAAGATGTTTTCCAGGTAATTCCAGTTTCGTAATAATATGGAAATGTATTACCAATATCTTCAAAGCCAATATAAGGTAGGACCTTTTATGTGTTATGCCCCGTCACTTTTAAAAAATAAGCAACGCTCAACAGAATCAAAAATTTGATATGAAGCTAAATAGAAAAGTAATACTCAAATATTCCCAAGATAATAATTCAAAGAGTCACATTTGTTTGTCACCTGACTCTTTAACTAAGTAGTAAAAGTGCTACCCAACAGCTGTAGTAACATTCAATATTCTGACCAACCTTCAGAGTCCATAGTTTTATAAACTCCTGACGCCGGAGTTCAGGGTCTGCAATGTGAGTCAGCATTTCTATTTCATGGGGAGAAAAGTATCGTCGTGCAAAAGCTAAAATATCATTCTTTAACCTCCTTTGCTTCTCTTCCACATCAATACCAATCTACAATGAGAATGGCAAGTTAAATCAGTTCAAAGACAATGGTCTTCAACAATAAAAATGACAATAAGAAGAAAACGTCATAAAAATAGAAAAGAATATAATGACCCTTTGCAAATAAATAAATAACATCTGTATAGCAGAATATTGAATACATACGGGTGAGCCAACAGTTACTCCACAAGCTATCAAAGATGATGTGTGTGAGATATTAAAATGCAGAGGTGGTAGGCTCCAATCATCAGCATATTGCCAGTCCACCTATTCAAATATGATACTAAAAACCTTGAGTGTTAACAAACTCAATGAATATATTATATATGTCAATTAAGCAAGAAGAAACTGCAATCATACAAAAGATATAGGCAATAAATTAACGGTTAAAAAACCCACCTCAGGCTTGCCATAATTGTTCTTCCTAAACCTTAAGGATTTTGGATCAATCTGACAATTTGTCTGGTCTAGCAGTAAACAATTTTGTTTAGATATATGACCTCAACCATAAAATAGAAAGTTCAAAACAAAATGAAACAGAACAGGAACAATATACAGATTACAAATAGAACCATGATAGATAGTTCTATGCACATGCAGGATATATGTCTATCAAGTGAAAACTAATCAAATTGTGTTAAAATTGTTACTAGGCTACGGTAGGAGTTAGATAAAGTGGTTGATTCCAGACAAAAAAAGCGAAACAATGTCAATAGGAGTGATCCACAAAACTGCCACTAGAAAAATTAGTGAGGTACCGGACATTGTTAAACAAGTGTATAGATAGTGAATTTGCCTAATATTTGCCAATCCTCTAAACAGCACTGATCCAAAGAATAAAAACCACTCCCCAATAAACCCAGACTAGAGAGGGTAGGGGTGAGGGCAATCCTTATATGCAGTCTTACCGTTGCATATCTGCAAAAAGACTGTTTCCCGGATTCACTGATCCCAAAGAATAAAAAGCAAATAAAAAGATAAAGAAATAGGTAATCAAGAAATATTTAGCAAATTCAGAAAAGCTGATCTTGCTAGTTACATGAAACCACAAGGTTTTGGTCCATTAAGTACTTAAATCTGACAGAAGATATATGACTTGCATTAACCCCAAAAATATAAAAATATATAGCTTGGTGATTGTTAGAGAATAATATAAGGGGTTTTCATTTGTCCTTTAACATGACATGGTAAAGTTTCCTAATTCCTACACACAACATTTTGTGAGGCCCGCATTTTTTGAAGCAAAAAAAAAAAAACTAAGGCACAGAAAACGAATTTCAGTAACATGACACAATCGATTTTCCTACAACATAAATCTTATAAAACCCATAATATAAACCATTAAAAATGTCATAACCAACCACCTTAAGGTTTTGGGTTGAAATGATTCTTTACATGGTATCAGAGCTTCAGTGACAACAAGGTCATGAGTTCGATCCTCACCGCCCCCCACTTTCGAGTGGAATTAAAATAAGCACAAGGTAAAACCAAAAAAAAAACTGGGCCTGTGCAATATCCACACTTCAAGCCCAAAGGGCTCTTGTGTGAGAGGGTGTGTTAGACACCTTAAAGTTTTGGGTTGAATTGGTTCTTTACTGTTAGAGAATAATATAAACCATTAAAGAGGCCCTCACCCAACACTTTAAAGTTTTGGGTTGAAGTGGTTCGTTACATGGTATCAGAGCTTCAGTGACCACAAGGTCACGAGTTCGATCCTCACCTCCCTCCACTTTCTAGTGGAATTAAATAAGCACAAGGTAAACTAAAAATTGGGTCTGTGCAATATCCACGTTTCAAGCCCAAAGGACTCTTGCATGATGGGATGTGTTAGAGGATAATATAAACCATTAAAAAGACTCTGACCTAATACCTTAAGGTTTTGGGTTGAGATGGTTCTTTACAGTGATTAGTAGATATAGGAACAATATTATACAAATGAAATGAAAAAGGAAGAAGAAAATCTAGGAAACTCAGTACCAGAATAATAAAACTTACATCTTGCTAACGTAGTGCGAACCAATGCACGAGCTAGGAGCGCTCTTTTCTGTAGCTTTTCCCCGCGCATGCGAAATATATTTTCTTTCTCACAGGGTGATAGAATTTCTAAATATCGGTTTAATAGGTTTGTGCTCTTTACCTCATCAGGCAAAATATACCAAAAATGAGCTTCCCTACATTCCAACATAAAAGACAGTTGGAACCTAATACACTAAATAACATTCTGGAAGATAAATAAGCAACATAAGATTTTACTTGGCATCCACAAAACCAACGGCATGTTTATTTAAAGTAAAAATCTAACTTGTACATATAAACATGTTCAAAGGTACATAGCATACTAACAAGTAGATATAAACTCAAAATGAAGTTATACTTTTGTGCTGGAAGTTGCAAAGGGGACAAAGAGGATGAAGCAGTGACGAGATTCCTTCCAAAGCACCATATATTCATCATTAACCGTGCTTTGTAATGCAATGTATTCATGGGTATTCAGGACATTGCATATATAGTATTGTCTTCTCAATCTGTTTCTGACAACAATAACAGGTAAGAAAAGAACTATAGATACATCCTGGAAAACATTAAAAATACCAGTGACATTACACAATGTTCAAATAGAACCACAAGAAAAAAATAAAATAAAATAAAAAACAGTTAACATACTACTCAAGTATAGCAGTGATTAATTCAAAAACAGTTTTCGATTAAACTATGAGGCCATACATATCTGGTAGTACATAAAAGTATTTCACATAGACAGTTCAGTGAAAAAATAAAAATAAAAAGGAAAACTAACTTTGAAAAAATGTTGAGGGAAAAAACAACAATCTAAATTGAAAATTAAGCAATGCCTGAATGATAAGAACAGAAACCCTATTCGTCTATATCCTTGAACCAGAAAATCCATTATATAGATAAAGAGGGTTTTTGAGCGAAAATGAAGAAAGAGAATAAACTTAACTCAAATCGAAGCGAAAGAGAAGTTGTCGTGGTCGCCGATGATTGTAGCGACCACCTGAGGCTGAGACACACGAGGGTTTGTTTTGGGCAAACAACAAAACCAATGTTCTTTTTACTTTCTCCGACATCGGGGCCACAGATTACTTGATTATTAAAAGGAAACAAATGTTTGTATTTTTAGAAGAGTGTCGTTTTACTTAAAATTAATATTTTTTATTTAATAAGAGTTTGGTGTTTGTCCCAATGTTATTAAATTTGGCTTAATTATTGACTCGAGCAAGGTATTACGTTATTGAATCATTCGTTTAATCACTGTATCACTGATTCAATTATATGACCTAATAAGTATACATAATTTAGATTTAAAAAAGCTATAAATGTACTCAAAAATTTGTAAAAAAAATGATTCTAATTTCAAATGTTTTAATATGATAAACAATAAATTATACTTCATTATCCAACAAAAGATCAATCAAATCAAAATTAGCTGCATATTGCATAACTAAGATAATAATTAGTGTTATAGGTGCATAACTTATGCAACTCAATAAGTAACAGATCACTCAAATATTCTAAAAGAAAACAAATCATTTGTGTGTGAGAGTGAAAAAAAAGAAAGGCATCAACTGACGAAAAAAACTATTTTTTTATGAATCGGGTCGGGTCACTGGTTGAACCGATTGGGTCATCGATTTTTACAAAAATCGATCGGGTCGCACCAGTTCTATTACATGGTCGATCCAATATGAAAATCGGATCGGTTTATCGATTTTTTAGACGACCTGACTGAGTCGGTCCAATTTTTATAACAATGGTTTGTCCTTTTAAAGGATATTAAATTGTATTCTTATAGGATCTAGATCCTCTTATGTTAAAAAAATATGACATGGTAATGTGGAGAATTATAATTATACAAAGGTGGATCAATGGTAATAAAAGAAGAGACAGAAAAAATATTGAAATAGATAGTTACAAAATCATAACCGTTGATTCACCTTAGTATGGTTGTAATTTTTTCACATTATCATATCATTTTTTTTAACATAAGAGGATCAATTTCCATCTTTTTAAATAAAAGAAAGAGATACACAAAGAAAATCGTAAGAGGAAAAGGTGGATATTATTTCAATTAAATTTTAAATAAAAAACAATAATTTAACTAAAATAACCGTCCTTTAAAAAGGCAAATATTTTTTCCTTAAAATAAAAAGATAAATGTTTGTCCTTTTAAAGGATAATTTTTTTATTAAATATTTAAATTTAAAAAAAATCACTTTCTCTCATCATAATTTTTGTTTTTCTCACCATAAAACATGGTAGTTTTAACTAAAATGACATAATTTTATATCTTTTAAAAAGACAAACACACCAAATGATGGTAGCTCAGTTGGCGCATGAGCTGAGCAGGTGGCGGTGAGAGTATGTGTTCAATCCTCTCCAGTACCATCTTTGGAAGAAGTTTAAAACCTTAACTAGTGTATTACCTATGTGATGCACGAGGAAAAAATCGAAAATTTTGTCGATCGTAGTTGGTTAATCTCTATAATAAATCAAGAACTTCATCTTACTATGAAGCCCTGAATGGTACAATGGTAGAGGTAAAAATATGAAGGAGCAAAAATGAAAAATGCAAACCTTTTACTTTAGAAATATCTGAAATAAAAAAGAATTGTTTTGCTATTTTTGAAGTTGAAAAAGCTACAGCATTCACACAGAATTTTGTAAGTGTCAACCACAAACAAAACTATGTAATTCAGAGACATCGATTATTATGCAAATCAAATATAGTTATATACTCAATAATTTAGTCTTCAAATACAACAAGGCTTGCAGCAGCAACAGTGATCAAATACCATATTATCCTACCAAAGTGAAATAAGAAAAAATATGACAAAACCCGGAACAATTCCCAGTAGTTAATGCACTTAAAAAATTTAAACTATTACTTATTCTCTTCTACTTTCCTTTGCCAAAGATTAGGATATCCAACACCATACAAAGACAACAAATAAAAACAACCATAAATTATTTGGGATGAACACTATTTGACAGTAGAAATGTTAAATTATTGCAGCCACCAATAAAAGTCCAAATTAACTATAGGTGGCATCAAATATAACTGCTCAAACATTGGTGAGTTAATAAGTCAGTTAGAAGCAAGAAATCATATACGTTTAAAAAAATAAGTAGCAATGGTGAGTTATTTAGAAAATAAAGACGCCGTAGTTGTAACACCCCGTAGTACTCCGATTATTAACATACATGATATTTAACATTCACAGCGGAAGACTTTATTTGAAAAGGAATAAAGCATCTTATAAAAATACGAGTAAACTTTTGCCAAAACATTTCATAAAAACATTTCTAAAAACGTTCACGTCAGATACTGCGAAAGCGTAAATCTAAATATACATATACTAATTAATCCCATGAGCCAGTATTAGTGGCCATTGACCATCAAGATATGACATCAAGTGTCGTTCCTGACGGAGTCTCACGGACAGCATAACGGATATATTTCGGATAACTAGAAACATGATTCCACACATACATATAACCTAATTAATACAACAATTTAAACAGATAGCTTGCAAGTCCCACACAGACTGCAATCCCCTTAATGGGTCAATACAACTAATAAGGCTCCATGCCCGAATTAACTGAATACATGCATCAAGTCTATATTAATTCGAAGTATAAAAGTATCAGTAAATAATCCATGGCTCTAAGAATACTATCATGAGCCTAAATAAATACATACAATAATCTCCATAAAATAATTAAGCATGTTAACAAGTCTACATGCCAACATCAAATCTAAACATAATATAAAATCATCAACTGCATCATCAACTACTCCAATGCGGGGGCCTTGCCCCTAGAAGCATCACCACTACTCTGGGTACCTGAAATGATCTCCCCAAACGGGGTAAGATAACAACATCTCAATAAGCTCAAGGTTCATAGAAGATCCTCTAACCCCTGAGCCCACTTCCTGCATAACAAGTCAGATATAAAGCATATAATACAGACATACAGCATAAACATAGCATCATCATATCATCCTTGTGTAACCCCAAGGTCAAAGCCATAGACGGTTACACATGTGTGACTTCCATGGTCAAGCCATAGACAGTCAACACAACCTCAGTATGAAATAGCTCCCAGAGTCAAGTCATAGGCAGCCTACATACCATGATCACTGGCCAGGATCCTCATAACATATATCATCAGTGCATCATCATAACATCAAGATCATATAACATCTATATGAATGTGAATAAATGCACATATACATCATACCATATACTTCCATACAATATAACCATAATGCCCACCATCATGGTGGGGCCACAAGAGAGAGGAGTCAACTAGAGCTAGGAGCTTACCTTAGGGAGCTTAGCACAAGCCCACACTCCAATATAATACGTATGCTCCAACAAAATCCTCAAGTGCACGGTTCTCTAGGCACACCTAGAGTAGGAACCATTCACATCATTAATTACATATTAATTAATCAAGTCATATCCACGACTTAATCATTTAATGATTCCACTTTTCATACTCATATGCCAATAATATGCCCATTACAAGCCTAGACCAATTATTACTTATTACATATTTTAGTGCATTATTACAAGCCACTTTAATCTTCAATTACTTACATAGCTTAGAATCACATGCAAGGCTCACTTAGATTATTTTCAACTCATCCCAGACATATTTATGATTATTATAAGTTACTAAGGGTTCCCCTAAGCCCACTTAGCTTAAATATCACTTTTACGGTTTTTCCATAATTGGACATGCTTCTGTTTTCTAGTTACTGGGCGTGACTCACTTGTTATAAAATTCTCATCTTTTAGTATGTTAATCTAGACTCAATTACCTTTCCAACAAGGTATCATATGCCTCATTTGAAGTTTCCTAGCTCCGGTTATCACCATTTGAAGTTGGACAAACAAAGCTGTTTGCCAACTCCGAACAGGGCCCTAAACATCCTTTACCATTTCTGCGATTATGAAAATTATACTAAATAATTTGCTCTAAAATTTTTATGTAGACAACTAGACACCTTTATCTTTAATTAGACATATTATGAGCCTAATTTGAGTAATAATTGAGGGAGAAAAAATTCATGGAAGTGTCAGCCATGTACAGCGCCCCTGCACATGCCTCCCTGTGCAGTCCTCACTCAAACGAACATACAGAATGGAATATATCTTCAATTGATACCAAATTTTGACACCACGTAGATAACATCTCAATAGTCAATTTGATATAAGGCACATCCCTATATGATCTTTGTGGAGGAAGATATGCTCTCCCCAATTTTGCCTAAAAACTGGTTACTTAGCCTTAAATGTGTTTACTTAACAAACCTTAATTACTTTTGATTATAAATCCTAATTCACATTAATTCTTGGATTTTTCTATTATTAAGTCACATTATGAAATATCCTTAGTCCCATTATGTCATGATACTTAAATTTTACTAATTATTTAATTAGTGTACCTAAACCTTACTTTAGTCCAATTTTAGAGTTAAATCCTTGATTACTTTTGTTAATTAATCTCTACCCTTAATTAATCACCTAATTCATCATCTCCTTAATTTTAACACAACTAAACCCTTATGTACTTTATGGGGCAGATTTGATTAGCTATATTAATTAGGATTTTTAGCCATTATTAATCATGATTAGAGAGTTTTACTTAGAGTTAATCCACCTAGTTAATCTTTCTAATCATTTTTTCCACACTTAACAACTTAATAACATTTTTTTGTCATCAAACCCTATCCTTACATGATATGGCTAAAATGTTCATGGTCCATTTTTGAGTTCATAGTCATCTTTTTACATGAACATCACTCAAAGGTCCAAAGGTGGCACCTTTAGTCATCCAATCCATCATTCCATGGTTCCAAACACACACACACTTAAGAATCATCATCAAACCATGACATTACGAAATTTTAAACAACATTCTCCTCATGAACATATCAAAACCAAGGCACTCAACAAGAAAAAGGGAGGCTTTTTGGTTCATATTTCCCAAGTGGGAGCTTACATCTTCAAGGTTTCTCCTTTAGCTCAAGTCTC